AGGCTTCCTGGATAATGTTGTCTAAATATTAAGGCTCACAATTACTATTTTGCTCTGCCGATTAGGATATTTAATCAAGGTAATCTAGTTTGGGAACAGAAGGGAATAGGTCCATCTTAAAACAACGCTGACATTCCTTAGCTTGTGAGGTCAATTCATCAAAGAATTTGGACAGGCTTACAGGAGTAGTATACTATTTTACTTCTTGCTCTTGGTTTTAACATTGCCTCTCTAGAATGACACCTTACAAATGGATCATCCAGAACATGTTCAGTTCGAGTTGTTATGTTTGGATCATATTAGGATGATGACTCATTTGATCCTATTTTGAATCTCTTCTACAATTCCGTTTATAATATTGAATATTTTGAGTTTGTTAAGATCGTATTCTCGGATATGACTCAGTTTTCCCAAGTCTATCTATACTGAATTGGAAGTGTGATAAGAGACTTTTGTTAGCTTTGATCACATTTCTAAATGCTTATTGCTATGCCCCCACTACCAAAAAGGGAAGGAATTGGGTATTTTCGTGGGCCTAGGTGTAGTGTACTACTGTTCCACAATCCCAGCATAAAAGTTGCGGTCCTCACTACTCAAGTCCTCAGTCTTTGAATGTAAGTAGTGCATATGAGAAGCAACTTGAACCCCACCTTAGCTAGTTGGGAGTTTGCTAGCTGATATCGCTTGAAATATCAAGAGGATTCATTTCCACCCTTATTCTAGCATTCAATATTTGGATTTTAGTCTTAATTAATTCATGCCATCTCTAATCATATGTAGTTTTGTAGGTGTAAAACGGAGAAGGAATAGTTTTATTCATTGGGAAAATCAAGCCACACTTGGGCCATGTTTGGTTTGATGTAAAAGGTTTTCATGGAACATGATTTTTCCATTTTTTCCCATTTTCTTTTGTTTGGTTTGTCAAGGGGTGGAAAGTAATTTTTTCAAGGGTGGAAAATTTCATCCTTAATGATGGAAAACATTTTCCTTCCCGAAATAAGGGAAGTTACATTTTCCTCTCTCTTCCTTGCCTCCTTTTTTACTTCCCTCTCATTCATCCTTACATTTCCACTCCTATTTTTTATTTTTCTTGAACTTTTATTGTTTGCAACCAAACAAAGGAAAACTAATTTGCAATTGTGTTTTTCCTTGAAAATATGTTTTCCATGAAAACTAATTTTCCATTGAAAATGTTTTACGTTAAACCAAACGGGGCCTTAGTTAAAATGCCCAAGGAAATTAAAATTGTCTACCTAAATGCCTTCATCCGGAAACAATGCTCAACATGAGATAAGCAATGGGTTTTCTCAATCGCAAAACATTACAAACAACACAAGTTAGAAAAAGAACTAACCAATACAATGAAACCCTCAAGGAGTCAAGGATCTCAACTACAATGTAAAAAAAAAAAAAAAAAAAAAAAAAAAAAAGAAGAAGCCGGAATCGAGTAGGTGATAAACTAAAGCTTACTGATTGGTAAATGGAACAAGTGAACAACCGAACAAGTAGGTAATAAAGCTTAGCCTCAACTTGCTATGGCTAATTCACTTATTGAACCTCTTAATCAACAATTACTCTTTCTTTAGTAAAAAAGTTTTAATATTTTGAGTATATTACATTAATATAAGGAAAAATTGCTTAGAATAATCCGACCTTTGCCTCATCCGTCCAAAATAATTCCACCATTTGATTTTATATCAATAATCCGATCTTTAATTCCAATCCGCTTTAAATGGTCCCAAATGGTCCTTTAATGCCAACCCAACATATACTAATATTTTTCATTTGTTAGCAAAAAATGGTCAAAGTGGGGTGTGTGAACAACGCAAAAACTCAAAGTAATGGAGTAACCCGAGACAGAATATTTTAATAACCAACGAGTACAATGAGTATTATATATAAAGAAAACGTATCAGAAAAGCCAATCTTGTAGATATTAAATATAATGGCTCTGCTAATCCTCCACTCTTGATTGCCTAGTATGACAGCATGGCAAAAAACTTATGCTTGAAAGAATGTTATTAGTCCTTACTAAGGCTGATGTTTGTTTTGCATTATCCGAAAAACAAAAAAAAAAGTTTCCATTAAAAGGATAAATGGGGGCAGCATTTGATCTCCATTATCCCAAATTAACATTAAATTTTGATAGGTTGCTGTTCCACTAGGCTTAATGGTCTATGTACTGCATGTTAAAACAAAAGTACGTAAATTAAATGATTTTTTTATTAATTGAAGAGTAATGCTGATTTTCTGATTATCTATAATTAAGTTGTCAGTGGAATCTAATTAAATGATCAGATACCAAACAAACTCCATTAACCACATAAAAATGAGAAGAAATTGTTATATAGGAAGTTAGTGGAGGACTTGAGGGGTAATTGTACTATAGTGGATGTACTAATTAGCCATATTTAGGCTTTTTTGAGTGGCATATAGAAAGGCGTTTACAAACTTGATTTATGAAGAAACTAACTACACCTCAGCCATGAGAGTTGTCATATGACGCCGTTTAGATAAAGATAGTTGCTGTGGTATCTCATATGGTTATGGTGGTACATCGTACATGTTTGTAGTGATACTTCGGGTGATTGTGGCAGTATATACAGAGTATTAATTGTTTTATTGCACTTTAGATGACTGAAGGTTTATTTGATGGTTGTGAACTTGTGGTGGCTGGAATATGCATAGTTTGGTGCCTCTAAACAAAAATGATGTTTTTTTTTTTTAAATTATTCTAGTAGTGACTTGTGAGACAATATATCGTGCAGCCTGATTTTGAGGATTGTAAGCTGATAATGAATAACACAACTTTTAATGTTGAGAATACAGAAATGAAACAATGCAAATACAGAAATCTTGTAGATTGTAGATTTTTATCATTCCAAATTAACTAAAATTTTCAATTTGTTCCGATTAGAGAACAAATTCTCAAATTTACATGTTATAGTTTTAAGACATATAACGAACTGCAAGCAAAGCTGACTAGCTGAGTGGCGATTGCATTAGTACGTGTTCCATGACCAAAACCGAACTGATATTCTAGTTTTAGTAGCTAAAAAAGAGATGTGAAAGCACTTTGTTTTTGGTTTCACTTTCTTCTTCAGTCTGCAAAAGAAAAAGAGATGCAAGCACTAGCTAGGCAAAGCAAGATGGATGGGTCCCCCATTTATTTGTATATGGAGTTGAAGGAAGTCTGTAGCATGTGATATTCCACTACTGATGCTAGTGTAGCTATTAGCTTTGCAATAGTAATGATCAGAAGATAAGAATCGTACCCTTACTAGCTGTAGGAGAAAAGTGTTGAACTTTTTCGCCCCCTTTTCGGGGTTATTCTCTTGAAACATAAGGGTGCTGATTAAAGTCAATAATGGAGGTTGCATCACAATGCTTTACTTTTTTTTGGTTGTGTAGAAGGCCGGAGGCACTAAAGATTTTAGTCTTGACCACCAGGCCTTATCGCAGGATGAGCTTTTGTGTATTAGGTCTTTGGACAAGTGCCTCAGACGTACTCCTAGAGTTAAATCCTTCACAGTTTTGACAAAGTTTTAGTAGATTATAATTAGGGTATATTTGTTAAATATGCTTATGTAGATTACTTAGCTTCAAATAGGAGTGCAATTGCCTTCATCAGAGACATAGATTTCTGCATCATACATGTTCTGAGAATTGCTCAGTTATTCGATGCAAAAACACTGGTCGTGTATTCATGTGTGCTAGAATGTAGAAAGATCTATCTTGTTCATCTGTTTGATAATCTGAGCTTCATTTCGACCTTCTCCTAACACTTACTCTTGTCTGCTTCTTTTTGTTAAAATAAAAGATATGGTGGATTTTGGTTGACTTACAAAACGAAGAGATCATAGTATAAACAAAATGTTTGGTGTGTGATTTCAAAAGTGTAAAAACTACTACACTGCTTGGTTGGATAGCACCCATTAAACTTTAAATCCTCACTAGTAGTATTTCACATGGGGACCGAAGCATAGGCGGCAACCCATTCTGTCGCATGCTGACTTTGGTGACACTGATTGCAAAACATATCTCATATTTTTTTCTGATGTAATTAGATTTATTTAATAGTTTTCATAAAATCGACCAATTTCTGAGAACAGAGATGTATGTAGCAGTTAGCTTAGCAGACTGCTTGAATTCTGAGTTTTGAGCATGCTGGTAATATGTCTTAGAAATTACGCCATCAAATGTAGTATTCCTTAGCGGCAGGAATTAAGACATGAACTACATATCCTGTTTAGGCCAAGCCATGGATCTTACACCATAGAGTCCTGATAAGCGATGATATAGACAGTATTCGGCTTTATTTATTTATTTATTTATTTATATATAAGCAAAGAATGCTTAATTACCATTTTTGTGATTAATACTATAAGTATGAAAGTCATTACGCTGCTCAATATTTATGAAAAGATTCAATTAACTATTCAGAATCGAATCATGTTTGTTTATAAAGTTGATCTTAAGGAGTTCAGATATGGCAGATTCTTATTCATTTTTATTCTGCTTAACTACTCACAATTTGTACCAGTAAACTCCAAATTTAACTGATCATAATTTCAAGTAATGATCACAAGGAAGGTGTCTTTGTGTTTGCCTTTCATTGTTTATGGATTACTGCATAAACTGGATTATTGTTGTTCTATGCTTTTGTATCATTGCTTGTAGCATAAAACATATTTCGTATTTGGTACTTGACTACTTGTAATAAAATGATGTATACTGTGAACTCTCTCTGCACAAGCAATGTATATCCTTGGGAGGACCGAGTAGAGAGTAAGAAGGATTATAGGGTTACTGAGAATTCAATGTTGAAGACAGCACAAAGTACACTAAAAAGTCTAAAACAACTACATTCTTGGGAATTTAAAATGGTCCAAATAGTAGGGTCAATAATCTTCTCTTTATGTGCCTTAACCAATCTAGTGCCAGTAACACGCTTTAGGGCCCTCCCCTGCAAGAACCAATCCCTATAAATACCCATTTATCTTATCATTGGTAATCATCTTTTTTTGAGTTTCAAAACATTCCCATGGCTGCCCACAAAATCTCTTGTGTTGTTTTCTTTTTGTTATTGGGATTAGGCATCTCCTCTGCTGCTAGGTCCCTCCTTACTTATGAACATTTAGGGGGCTATGCGGGTGGTGGTGGTGGTGGTAGTGGTTCTGGTGGGGCAGCTGTTTATGATGGCGGACATGCAGCTGGATATGGCGGTGGAGGTGGTGAAGGAGGCGGTGTAGCACATGGTGGATATGCTGGTGGAGGTGGTGGTGGAAGTGGTGGTGGTGGTGCATACAGTGAAGGAGGAGCGCATGCTGGTGGTTATGGTGGTGGTGAAGGCGGTGGAGCTGGTGGAGCCGGTGCATATGGTGGAGGTGCTTATGCCGGTGGTGGCGGTGGTGGAAGTGGTGGAGGTGGTGCTGGTACATATGGTGCTGGAGGAGAGCATGCTGGAGGATATGGAGGTGGTGCAGGTGGTGGTCATGGAGGAGCTTATGCAGGTGAGGGTGGTGGTGCATATGGTGGTGGTGGTGGCAGTGGAAGTGGTGGAGGAGGTGCATATGGTGGAGCAGGAGGACATGCTGGAGGCTATGGAGGTGGTGAAGGTGGTGGCCATGGAGGAGCTTACGCCGGTGGTTCTGGAGCATATGCTGGAGGTGGTGGGAGTGGAAGTGGTGGAGGAGGTGCATATGGTGGAGCAGGAGGACATGCTGGGGGCTATGGAGGTGGTGAAGGTGGTGGCCATGGAGGAGCTTATGCTGGAGGTGGTGCTGGTGCATACGGTGGTGGTGGTGGAAGTGGTGGTGGCGGTGCTGGTGCTTATGGTGGTGGTAGTGAAGCTGCAGGTGGTGGATATGGTAGTGGAGGAGGAGCAGGTGGTGCTGCTGCAGGAGGAGGGCATGCATATGGTGCAGGTGGCGGAGGTGGTGAAGGAGGAGGTGGTGCCTATGCAGGTGGTGCTCATGCAGGTGGATACGGTGGTGGTGCTGGAGGTGGTGAAGGAGGTGCCCATGGTGGGTATCCTTGAGTTCAAATCGCCAATTCCAAACTTGGCCTACATTAGTAATAATGAGATTGAAGATTCAAAACTACATGTAGTAATGTAACCGATACTCATTAGTCCATGAAGAACCTGCAATATGTAGTCATGTAACTTTATCAATCCTATAGTTGCTTCATAATTTTACTTTATGATTTGGATACATAATGAAATCGTGAGCTCTCCCCATACAGCCACTTCATGGTACTAATTGATTAATGATTGCAGTTAATTGTATTGTCTCTGATTTTACTTTAAACCATTTTCGATAGATTGATGAAATCACACCATCTCTCAGAGGTCTTGTACAATCGCAATCCGGAGAGCATAGTAAATTAATGGATTCCTCAAATTTTTATTTTTAGCCTTTCCTATTCTTAACCTTTGGGAGAACAGCTCTGAAAAGAAAAGCTGTGTTATTGCTCATGTGAGGTTATGAAATAGGAGCAAAAGTGAAATATTTCAACTATGCTATTCGTACTCTTCATCCTAAAACAAATTTTATCATCAGTTCCTGTCATTTTAACATGAATATTATGTGATTGTACTGGTTGCAACTAGCAAACTGATATTACTGGTGTAGTTTTGTGCATGCATGCAATAAGAGGCTAAAAAGATTGACATCCCTCTTGAAATGGGTTTATGAAGCCACTATCTGCAGACTGTAGTGCTATAAATTAATATGGACTTTTAGAAAGGGCCTTTTGTTCACTAATTAGTGCAGATGGCCTTTTGTTCACTAATTAGTGCAGATCAGTAAGAAATTGCCAAAATGTTAAACTTGTATTACTTCTGATAAAATTTATAGGGGTAATAACATTTTATTACGGAGTATTATTTTATTTACTGATAATCTTTATGGCTAAAGCTTTGCATAAAGTTCTGATTTTGGCATTTCTCTAGTTGATCTACTCTCAAATGTTTGTCAATATAATCTTGAGGAATGTTCAATTTTATTAGCTGCAATGTACAGTTTTACTAGTGCTGTTGTCAGATGCTTGAAAAATACTTCTGCAGTAGCTAATGTTGATATTTGTAGCTTCTCAGAATAGCAGATTCATCATCCCTGTGTAAGACTGTCTGAAACTTTATATAGTATCGTGATTCTTTTAGATGTTACAAGCTTTTAAAGATAGAGATAGAACTCATAGAAGGCTAGAAGCCATCAGCCTTTTTGATTTGGTTTATAAACTTTGTGATTGTCAGAATCTAAGTCATTGTACTCAAAAAGTAAAACAAAATTAAACATAGTCAGTGAAATCTGAAGCTATTAATTCTCACGACAATCCTCCCTATTGCATTGCTCTGAATCTCTGATCAACTAGCTAATTGAGCCACTTCTTCATTTATGTGATATACTTCATAGCTTAACTAGTAGAAGAATTAGCTAAACAACGCAATACAACTTATCAGGAAAACATTGGTTCTACCTAGTTTTAGAAAGCAATGTACTGTTAAAATTGTATGCACCCTGTAACCAATAGTTTAAAGGATATTCGCGGTAGTTTTTTTTTTTTTTTTTTTTTTTTTTTTTTTTTGACAAAGAGAACAATATTCGCGGTAATTTATTATCCAAGAATGTATGCATGCACAGCTCGAGAGTTTGAGACATAATGTGTCTTTTGTATGGCATATACATTCTATGTAACTATTATATGCTTAAAGTGCAGCAGCAGACTTGCTCTCTTGTGTTCCCTTCTAAATTTTCAGCCTTTTGGTTCAAAGTTTTCTGATCATCTTTAGAGCACAAAAGTAAAAAGTCTACATACAATTCATTAGTGTATACTTGCTCTGTTGTGACTTGTGAGCCCTTTTATTTGTCTGATTAGTCCTACGTGAGACCGTCTCACACATTTAACTATTCTGACTGTTATAGTTATCCTGTCACTTATGAAATATTACTAGCTTATATAATCGCAGAACTTAATTAAATGCCTAAGTCTGAAAAAGTTAGCCAGAAAAAAGAAACGGAGGAATTTCAGAAATATGCAAATAGCTCACATCTTGCTCCAGAAACTATCATCTAGTGTTTTGTAAACCTGAAACTGGACAAAAGGGTATGTTCTGCTTTTAGATCCTATTTCAGAAGAACTGTGGATTGTTGGGGGTACCTGATATAAGATTGTTCGTATGTGAAAACACATAACTTAATCATTTATACGCGAATAAGACATGGTAGAAAATAATTACGAGTCTTTTAAATTAAACAAATTTATAGGAAGTATAACTAGAATATGACTATCAGACATTCAGACTATATGAGCATGAAACAATATTTCCATGGTTAGTTGTGTTCTACATTATATTGTACCAGAGTTTCAATCCTTTGTTTACAATTTATTTTTTCAGCTTATATCATCTTCTCTTGAATTTGAATTATTAATAAATAATGCATGCACTTGGTTAACAATAGTGAGTTGCAACAAGATAGGGTATGCATAATTAAATCAGTTCATATGCGCATTATCTCATAAAGCTATAGTATTAGTATAATTAAGCAAATAGAAATGAGCAGGACAAAGGTTACCTAATCAGGATTAGATTTCTCCAAATTGGGGAATGATTTGGAAGAACTAACTATAAGATTAAATGCAAATAAACTTCAAAAATTAATATTTTAAATATCAATAAATAAAAATTATAAATTTTTTTGATGTTTTAGAAGAAGAATTAATTAAGCCAAATTCGCAAAGATCCCACGTAACTATTTTGTTGTTATAAATAATCTTTATTTCGAAATTTTATTTTTATAAAACTGAAGATATATATATATATATTTAATAAAAAAATTATTACTAATACATTATAATTCAAGTGTTGGAAGACAGCGGAGGAACACTACATACTGTCACTATATTACACTTTTTTTTCTTTTTTTTTTTTTTGAGGGGCTGTTACTATATTACACTTAATTAAGAGAATGATACTCCTACTAGCTAATTAATAGATATACAACTTGAAAATATAGCGGCTTATGCTTTGTATTTGGTAAGTAGTACCTTATAGTGGGAACAACGAGTAATCCATTCCCTTCTTTATCATGTTGAGTGCGAGTAACACGCTATTTTAAATCCTAATCCCATGCCTATAAATACCATATATCTAAGCATCCCAAAACCATCACTTACAAACATTCTCAATATGGCTTCTCAAAAAATATCTTGTGTTGTTTTTTTCTTGGTGTTAGGAATAGGTATGTGCACCGCCACTAGGGCCCTTCTCACTTATGAACTGGGAGGACATTCCGGTGTTGGTGTTGGTGTCGATGTTGGTGTAGGTGGTTATGCCGGTGGAGGAGGTGGTGGGAGTGGTGGAGGTGGAGGAGTTGCTCATGGTGGAGGTGCAGGAGGATATGGTGGCGGTAGTGGTGAAGGAGGTGGTGCAGCTAGCAGTGGAGCTGCCTATGCAGGTGGAGGCGGTAGTGGAAGTGGTGGAGGTGGTGGAGCAGCTCATGGTGGTGGGCATGCTGGAGGATATGGTGGTGGCAGTGGTGAAGGAGGTGGTGCAGCTGGTGGAGGAGCTGCCTATGGCGGAGGTGCTGGCGGAGGAAGTGGAGGAGGTGGGGCGTATGGGGCTGGAGGAGAGCATGCAGGTGGTGCCGGAGAAGGTGGAGGCCATGGAGGTGGGGCCGCTAGTGGTGGAGCTGCCTATGGTGGTGGTGCCGGTGGCGGAAGTGGTGGTGGTGGAGCATATGGGGCTGGAGGCGGGCATGCTGGTGGTGCCGGTGAAGGTGGAGGTCATGGAGGTGGGGCTGCTAGTGGCGAGGCTGCCTATGGTGGTGGTGCCGGTGGTGGTAGCGGCGGTGGTGGTGCTTATGGATCTGGAGGAGCGTATGCTGGTGGTGAAGGTGGTGGCCATGGAGGTGGTTATGGTGTTGGCGGAGCTGGTGGACATGCTAGTGGTGGCGGAGGAGGAAGTGGGGAAGGTGGCGGTGCTGCTTATGGCGGTGGAGTGGCAGCTGGTGGATACGGTAGTGGTGGTGGGGCGGGAGGAGGTGCTAGTGAAGGAGCGGCAGCATATGGTGCCGGTGGAGGTGGAGGATCCGGTGGTGGAGGTGGCTCCGTTGCTGAGGGAGCCCATGCTGGTGGTTATGGGGGTGGGGCCGGTGGCGGTGAAGGGGGTGCTCATGGAGGATATATGCCTTGATTGAATTCATATATTGATTTGAGCCAACTTCACCTAGCTTTTGCTTTAACTTCATGGCTCTTATTTTAATATTTGTCTGATTATTACTCATTTGCAATAAGGGTTGGTCATGCTCATACCAATGGATTTCGCAAGAACTAAAATGATACGTAGTATGTATTATTTATAAATATGATTGTGTAAGCAACAGTCACGGTGCAATGCTTGCAAACTGTTGCATAAAATTGTAATATACTCTTATTGCTTCTGCAATTAACGAATTTTCATTTTCTGTCTAGATATTGTTCAATTGTAATCATTAAAAACCCTTCATTTGTAGTACGTAAAATGTTTTGCACGGATGATCAAAGTCAAAAACCACTAATTAAATTGAGACTTTGGGTCATAACCTTTATATTTTATTCCAAAATTCAGAATCACGTTGTCCTTTTCTTTCCAAATATAAACGATCGTTCTGAATTTCATATTGTATATATACGGCCGAAACCTCCAAATTTTATCAAAAAACGTGGATATTAGCCTGTAATTTTGGAATTTTTTGACTTTTTTTCACCCGTAAATAAAAATTGCCGAAATGTTTACCATGGTCCATAATACCCTATGGGAGTCCAATTGGCTGGGTGGAACCATCCAATTTGCCTATAAACAACCAATTTACCGGTTTACAACTTGCACTGATTTCATCAACTCAAGCTTACCACGAACATTTATGACAACATATAATGATCATATATGGATCCAGACGGTATTATATGACCCCGAGATGTATCCTCTAAAATCTCAATACTTTTCGACACCGGGCCCCGAAACATTCGAAATTTCTCAAAAAGTGTGGATAATAAGCCTTCAATTTTGGAATTTTTTGACTTTTTTCGCCCGGAAATAAAAATTGCCGAAATGTTTACCATGGTACCAAATACCCTCTGGGAGTCCAATTGGGTGGGTGGAACAATCCAATTCGCCTTTAAACGACCAATTTACCGGTTTACAACTTACACCAATTTCATTAATTCAAGCCTAACACAAACATTTATGACAACAAATAATGATCATATATGGTTCTAAACGACATTATATGATCCCAAG